CCCGGGTGGCCCTGGTGGCGCGGGCGGGGACGTGGCGGTTCCGCCGGGCTAAACGTGGTGTTCCCGACCGTGTGTGCGCGACTGCCTCTGCAATAACACAGCGCAGACGTAAAGCGCACCTCGGCGGTTTTAATTTATCCCGATGTTTTGTGCAAGTGCTCAGGGTACTAAAGCTCTCTCAGGATGGACATGCACACCTGCATGTATCACCCTGGGCTTCTGCCACGGAGCAGAAGCTCTGCTTTGTGTGTATGACAACGAAGTATAAGAACAAGGCTTTAAAACATTTTCTTCCAGGTACATAAAAACAAACCCACCATGCAGCAGGCCTGCACACTCCTACTGGAGCGAGTCCAGAGAAGGGCCACCAAGATGGAGAGGAGCATCTGGAGCATCTCTCCTGTGCGGGAATGCTGGGAGCTGGGCCTGTTCAGCCTGGAGAAGAGAGGCTGAGTGTGATTTCATTATAAATATACATGAAGTAAAATAGGGGCTTGTTTTTAAGTCAGCAGGGTTGTTTTGTGGAAAATAGCGATTCTGGCAGTTTCAAAACCTCCCCGGATTAGTTTTCAGAGCTTGCAAATTTCCATCACACAAAAAAAAAAAATTCAAAATTTGTACCTTCTATCACGAATAACTTGCCTACTAGGATGAAAATATCAGCATTGGGCAAAAGATGAAAGAAATACACTTGACTTGGTTTTTCATATTTTATTTGTTTTCATAAGCAAGCATTAAAGAGTATAAAAAGATAAATGAGCTAGAGTTTATTCCCAAACTCTCTACCCTCTCCTGACTTTCCCAACGGAATCGTTCCGTTCTGGATGTCAGGACAATATTACACATGTTCACGAGGTTCCGCCTCTGGAAGAAGCAGGAGGCTGAGGTGGTGCAGAGGCTGGGGGAAGCCAAACAGCGTCAGCCTTCGTGCCTCAAACAGGCAGGAGACCTAAGGCTGAGCTCTAAGCCAGGACGGGTATCATGGTAACACCGCGCGAGGAGAGGATATAAATCATAAGAAGAGGGAACTAGTGGAAAAGGAAATCAGGAGGTGATGCACAAAGGCAGAGCTTTATTTGAACAGATGATGGCTCTATCCCAACATATCTGCAAGTCCAAAATTTGAACAACTTTACTTGTTCTTTAGCTGCCAACTCAGACAAGTCTAACAAGGCTGTCTCTAAGCATAAACCTTTCGTTTTACAAAACCATGCCTGAACAGCATTGACATTTTCAAACAAAACAAAGGTTTTGTAGAACAGATAAATATCCCAGAATATCATTATCAGCAGACACTGGCAGCTGAAGAAAACATTTTAGTGCTCACATCCACTTCTTCCTGTAACTGCCTATCAGGTCTCCTCTTACCCTTTAATTACAGTTCCAGAGCCAGCACACAGATGATAAGGCTTTTATTTTATACCAACCTCTCGTGTCCTGTGCACTGTGAACTAAATTTTTATATTTTATCAGATGTAGCCTGGGCACCACAGAGCACTTCAGTGCCTTGTGATACCTTCTGCCTTGCTTTAAGTGCTGCTGCTCCATGAGAATGGCAGGTCACAGTAGTGTCCTGACAGGGAAGGAACAGAGGTCTCACTGCCAGCCCTCTGCAAAGCCTATTTAGTTCCTTTCAAGTCATTTACCAGCTTGTGAAAAGGAAATGGAAGCGGTACATAACCCAGAAAGAAAAGACACAAATTGAAAGTATTATTCACTAGTAAAAATAATCATAGAATAATAGAATGCTTAAGGTTGGAAGGGACATTTAGAGATCATCTAGTCTGACCTCCCTGCACATGCAGGGTCACCTAGAGCATGTGGCACAGGGTAGCATCTAAGCAAGTTTGGAAGACCTCCAGAGAAGGAGACTCCACAACCTCCTTTGGCAACCTGTTCCCGTGCTCTGTCACCCTCACTTTTAAGAATTTTTTCCTTATGTTCCTGTGGAACCTCTGGTGTTTCAGTTTGTGGCCATTACCTCTAGTTCTATTGGTGGCCACCATCCTCCTCACTGCCTCCCTTGAGGTACTTGTAGACACTGATCCCCTCTCAGCCTTCTCTTCTCCAGGCTGAACAGGCCCAGCTCCCTCAGCCTCTCCTCATAGGGCAGATGTTCCAGGCCCCTGATCATCCTTGTAGCCCTGCGCTGGACTCTCTCCAGCAGCTCCACATCCCTCTTGTACTGTGGGGCCCAGAACTGGACACAATACTCCAGATGTGGCCTCACCAGGGCTGAGTAGAGGGGCAGGATCACCTCCCTCGACCTGCTGGAGATGCTCTTCTTAATGCAGCCCAGGATTCCATTGGCCTTCTTGGCCACGAGGGCACACTGCTGCCTCATGGTCAACTTATCATCCACTATGACAGCCAGGTCTTTCTCTGCAGAGCTGCTCTCCAGAAGGTTGGTCCCCAGCCTGTACTGGTGTCTGGGGTTATTCCTCTCCAGGTGCAGGACCTTGCACTTGGCCTTGTTGAATTGCATGAGGTTTTTCACCGCCCAGTTGTCCAGTCTGTCCAGGTCCCTCTGGATGGCAGCGCAGCCCTCTGGGGTATCAGCTACTCCTCCCAGTTTGGTATCATCAGCAAACTTGCTGAGGGAGCACTCTGTGCCTTCATTCAGGTCATTGATGAATAAATTGAACAGGACTGGACCAAGGACTGACCCCTGGGGGACACCGGTAGCTACAGGTCTCCAACTGGACCCTGTTGTTCTCTGATCTCATAACCTGATCAATTTGTAGAATAGGTGAAGCAGGGACAAAAAGCACATGTGAAATACGAATTCATAATCCAAGGTCAGCTTGAATTTTGCATGTATGAATGAGCAAGTACATCCCTTATATGCAACAAACCTGCATGGAAACTATTACACATGAAGCCTCACAAGCTGTAGGGAGTGGGCAGTATCCTGATTATGGCAATCTACTTTTTAGTTTATACTTCCTCATATGGAAAAGCTCGTTGCAATGTCACAGGGGACCTCAGAGAGCAAGGGTACAAGGCAAGGGAACCTGCACATGGCGGGAAACAATCCTGAGAGGATAAAGAGGGAGAAATGTATTTGAGTGATTTCCAGAACCTGCTCGTAGGAAGTTTGAGGAAATACATTGTGCGAACAGAGGGCTGTGTAGGCGCTCAAGTTGAGCAAGAGGAGATGGTAGAAGGTGGGAAGTGAAGCAGAAATGCTCATTTCTCCTCTTGCAGGTCTTGAACAACACAATCCTCCCTTCTCTCTGTTGACTCCAAAGATGTGTGCCTCTCACAGCCTTTTGGACTATATCAAGGCAGTAACAGGAGAAATTAACGGAAGTTCTGTGCAAGAGCGAAAAATGGTAGTTGACAGGGCAGGAGGCTTTTTCAAGGTTTGGTTCAAACCAAAACTTTTATTCTTAAAGCAGACTACTACTTTGCTTGCTGCCCAAAGACCCCTTCAGGATCAGTACCCCTTTTACCTGCATGTGTTTTGTATAGCTTCTGAACTAAACGTTTTGGTACAGAATGCCTGGGCTTTGAAGGAGATCAGCTCTTTAGGTCATGAAAGCTGCAGTACTGCCAGGAAAGCTTTGGAGCTAATGTCCTTGACAAGCATTTGCCTGGTAGACCTCAATGATGCAGAAGCAAAGTCAAGGCTGGGGCAGTAGAAAGACTAGTTGGAGCACTACACCTTAGGACAGTGGCTGTGGGTCTGGATCACTGTTGTGGATTCCTGAACCCACTACACAGAGTGCTTGGCTGGCCCCACCTTTGCCTGCAGTTGTGATCCAGATCCTCTGGACCTCGAGTGAAGTGCTTAATTTAAGTTTTGGCAGACTCATGTTAATGCTTCAGAAGGTCCCATGTCCAAGACTCTAACCAAATAGTCAAAATAACATGTACAAGACATGTCCATACCGACTATATGAGATCAGCAAAACACAGGGAATAGAGGTGTTTCCTTATGAGACGTTACAGAAAGTTCCTGTGAAAGTTAATTTTAAAAAAGAAAAAAACCCCACAAACAAACACTGTTGCATGCTGGAGGTAACTATGGCATCTTTACAATAAGGTTGTGCTATTGAAGTGTGAAAGGATTTTGTTTTATATTCAAAGCACATCTTTGGTTACATAACAGAGATTGTCTTGAGTTCTCTCAGCTCAGTTTCAGTTTCAAGATGGACTTGAAAGTCCTGAGGGGTGTCAGGACTTTATGTAGTGGGCCTCAATCCACTTGGAACAGCAATGAGAATTCTTTCCCAGCTGTTCTCTGTTTGTTTGCTTAGTGTCAGCACTACAGATGAGAATAGCTACTACGTTCCCTTCTTTCACAAATCAGACTGACTTTTTTCTTTAATTTATCCTTGATCAACATCGACCAAATCCATCACCACTAGAACTGGCTAGTTAACCCAGAGTTCATGGATAGAAATCTACACCTACCTGTCAGGAGAAGGCAAATTATCCTTTATCCTTTAGGAGAAGCCTGGAGAGAGGAAGACTCGCCCTGGGTAGAGGAAGATTGGGTCAGAGAGCACCTAAGGAAACTCAATACCCACAAATCCATGGGCCCTGATGGGATGCACCCCAGAGTGCTGCGGGAGCTGGCAGATGCCATAGCTAAGCCGCTCTCCATCTTTGAAAGATCCTGGAGAATGGGGGAGGTGCCGGAGGACTGGGAGAAGGCCAATGTCACGCCAGTCTTCAAAAAAGGCAAGAAGGAGGACCCAGGCAACTACAGGCCAGTCAGCCTCACCTCTGTCCCTGGAAAAGTGATGGAACGGCTCATACTGGCCGTTGTCTCCAGGCACTTAGAGGACAACAAGGTGCTCAAGAGTAGTCAGCATGGATTCACCAAGGGGAAATCTTGCCTGACTAACCTGATAGCCTTCTATGATGGAATGACCGGCTGGATAGATGAGGGGAGAGCGGGGGATGTCATCTATCTCGACTTCACCAAGGCTTTTTTTATTGAGCAAAGTAGACTATCTGCCCACGTTTTCTGTGCTGAACTCTGGAAAAAGTAGTTTTATATCTACAGTTTTTACAATTGCCACATTCTTTCAAAAGCACTCCAGGTCACCATATCACAGGTGCCTTCATGTCTGTTGTCTCCTGTATTTATGTTTCTGGTCCCCAAGATTTTTTGTTTGTCTTTATTTCTCCCTCAGCTTTCAAAAAAAAAAAAAGTCCTACATAACTTAGTAGCATTACAAAGATTTTTGTTTGGTCTTTAGAAAGTTCATTCAGGAGTAAATTCTGGAGTAAATACTTGTTCAACATGACTGATGTTCTTCCGGTTACATGATACAACACACAAATAAACAAGGAAGAGAAGGCATAACAGTGCCATGCTTGTGAAGAGGAGGAGGAGCCCAGTGAACAAAGAAGGTTTCAGAGGTAACTGGATCAGCTTCCTTTCTGCTGGAATCATGTTGGTGAGGCTTAGCATGTAACCAAGGGACCATGCTATACTGCTGTTGCCAACCTGAAATACAGATAAAAGTGTCCTGTTCCCATGAACTTTGGAGTCATGGCCTATTCATTTGTTATTCTTACACACAAGCACTAAAGCACTGCCAAGTTCTGTATGGAGATTATGATGTGGGAGAGTGGTTTACAATAAGACTCCGTACAGTAGCAGAGAAGAAAGGACAGCCACACAGAACACTGTAGCACACTTCTGATGTAGCAGCCAAGATCATGTAGTGGGTCAACAAGCAATGCTGCAACCCCAGGAATCAGCCTGGAAGTGGTATTGAAGCTTGAAAAATGGCTTTGTTTTATGTAAGATATTTGTCAGTCATCTACAAAGGCTGTCTACAACCATTATGTTTTTGTAGGCTACTGCATCTTCCATCTCTTTCTAA